GTCAAGCGAGCCGAAATAAGAGCAAGCTTACTTGGAGCTGGTGTACTTGGTGACAGCCTTAGTGCCTTCGCTGACGGCGTGCTTTGCCAACTCGCCGGGCAGAAGAAGACGCACAGCCGTCTGGATCTCCCGCGAGGTGATGGTGGAGCGCTTGTTGTAGTGCGCCAGGCGAGAAGCCTCGGCGGCGATGCGCTCGAAAATGTCGTTGACAAAGCTGTTCATGATGCTCATCGCCTTGCTGGAGATGCCGGTGTCAGGATGGACCTGCTTCAGCACCTTGTAGATGTAGATGGCGTAGCTTTCCTTCCTCTTGCGCTTCTTCTTCTTGTCTCCCTTGGAGATGTTCTTCTGGGCCTTGCCGGCCTTCTTGGCGGCCTTTCCGCTAGTCTTGGGCGGCATGTCGACTACAGAGGTGCGTTCGACACAACTTTCGCAGAGCGAATGTGGCTCCGCGGGAGCGGCCGGTCATATTTATCAGCTCGGTACCCCTTCCACCGCGCTCGGGCGCACGGCGGAAGGGGCCGCCCAATGAGAGCGGTCACGGGCGATGCGCGCCGAATAGTGGCGATCTCGGCGCGCCCCGCGGAAGGGGCACAGAGTTTATAAATATAGGTGGCTGCGATCTCCAGCGCCACACGAGAGCGGAGCTCGCTAGCGGAAAGTACTACCGTGTGTTCTCGTTCTCTCTGATATCGACATGAGCGGTCGCGGCAAGGGCGGTAAGGTGAAGGGCAAGTCCAAATCTCGCTCCAGCCGAGCCGGGCTTCAGTTCCCTGTGGGCCGTATTCACCGTCTTCTGCGCAAGGGCAACTATGCTGAGCGCGTAGGCGCCGGCGCGCCCGTCTACTTGGCGGCCGTCATGGAATATCTCGCCGCCGAAGTGTTGGAGTTGGCCTATTCTGAAATAAAAAACCCAAATTTGCAACAAAAAAAATTTTTTTATTTCAGAAACAATTTTTTTCTTTTTTTAAATCAGCAGTGGGGACAAGTGAGTGAATGACATATTAGTATATTTTAATTACCTAAAATAAGACCAATAGTTACCGACCTACACCCGAAGGAGTTTGCGGATAAGGGCTTCACCCATTTGCACGTGAACTAAACACTACAAAACTACAGAAAAGTAAAAGTACGAAATCAAAAAGATTGAAACACGTAGGGAAAATCCCAAAATCAAAAAGAATAAATTAAAAGTAATACAGAATAAAAATTAAAAGTGCCTAAAACATCAAAGTGGATAAAATCAACCGACAATAAAAGTGTCAAAAATACAGATAAAAACATATAAAAGTAAGGTCAGGTAAAACATCAATTGGTAAAATATGAAAAATCACATTAAAAAACAAATAAGACTAAAATAAGATTAATAGAATAATTAAAATAGTCGACTAAAAGTTCAAGTGTGGCTTCCTTTCAAAGCTAAGTGCCTCTAAGATTAGAAATGTTCTAAGGTAAACCAAAGTTTCACTAAAAGGATAAACACTCAAAGATGACACCAGGTAAGACAGAGGGTGCTGAAGTTGACCAAGAGCGAGATTTCATTTCGAATGTCCTATGTGTAATGAAGATGCCAGTTCAAGGGGAGAACAAAGTCATGGAAACGGTAAGAGCTGAGGTAAAATATTAAAAGCAGATATTTAAAACGAAAAAGCAGACGAAAGAGTTCATGATGGACATGGCTTTGCTGGAAATACCAGTGTCGGGATGAACTTGTTTCAAGACTTTGTAGATGTAAAAAGATTCCTTCCTGCGCCTCTTTTTCTTGTCACCAGCTCGGACGGCTTTTTGGGCCTTGCCGGCTTTCTTCACAGCTTTTCCGGATGCTTATATTATTACCTAAAATAAATAAAAAATAAAAATTGATAATTTTATTTTTATTCTTTCGTTAGCTTGCATTCTGAAGGACACTTTCCCTTAAAAAAAATTTTTTCGTAAGTTGTAAAACAAACATAAAATATAGTGGGGACATGAAAATGATTATATATATGAGAGCCCACTTTTTTGATACTTACGGGGGGAGGGCGTTCGATCTACGATATTTGAATCATGTAATCCTCTGATTTAAACTTTAATAATTTGATTGTTTTTCTTTACATCCGCTGTCCCCCCCCCCTCATTCCGCCATCACATCCATCCGTTTTTTTTCCTCCTGAAAAAGTTGATATTTTTATTTATTTATTTTTAAAAAAAAAGAGATCGATTTGTTTATGAATTGTTTATCAGGGTATAGATAATTATTATAATTTTATGCTATTGTGTTGATTAATGTTAACAAAATGAATGATTACCAGGATTTTAAAAACGCCGACCCAATTTTGGATTTACAACTGCTAATGTTTAGTTCCGTAGTTTTGTACCCAATCTGAAAGAATGCATCGAGTATTGGTTGAAATTTGCCTTCGTGGAAGATTTTTTGATGGAAGTGACCCTCATTTGTGTTACATTGCGAGGGAAACCACGAACACCCCGCACGGTTAGGCTAACGGGACTCTCACCCATGATCCGTCTTCCACTAAGGATATTTTACGTCAGCACTGTGGTCGGTCCGGAATTCGTATCGAAAATCTGGGATTCGAACCTCATTGGATGGTGAGCCCAAAACAATTGAAGAACGCCTAGTGTCTTCTGAGAATCGCTCTATTCATTTTGAATGTATTATACAAATGAAACCTTTTGTTTAGATATGGAGAGAGATGAAAAAAACTTTCAAATAGCGCTGGTATTGATACATTTTTATAAAATGCTGCTGCATTGACCGATTCATCTGCATATGAAGAGAGGTCTTAAAAGAAGAATCGGGGCCAAGTGCAGTGAAGTGCAAAATTACTATTTCCGCTTACGTCATCTCTTTCAATATTTAACAATTATTGGTTTTCTTCTTGTTGAAGACAATCAATAAATACTTAAAATGGAGACTTTATTAACATGTGTTTTTTTTTTTAGAGGAATAAATTTTCAATTTATATTTCTTGCAATAAAATTATAATTTTAGTTCGAACAAGTTTTTCTTATTTGCATATAATTTATTTTTGTTTTCTCTTCTTCCAATACCTTCTTAATTTTAGTTTACGCAATTTAATGATAATTGATTATCGTAAATTTCAAGTATTCTAAAGCTCAATTTATTTAATTTAATTTAGCTACTGGTCACTTTTTAATTTAGCTACTGGTCACTTTAGCTTCGGTCACTTTTTTATTGCTGCACACTTTTAACGATTTCGAAATTTGACGGCACACAAAGAAAAAAATAAGTTTACTTACCTATAGAAATACACTGTGTAAAATAGTTTATAATAATTAATTTTAAATGTGCTGGCTATTTATTAAGGAATTAATTGACTTGTGCAATGTCGCATTCTTTCCCCGCATCGCTCTTTTATTTTTAATTAATTATTAACTGTTTTTTTTTCTGCTAGTTATTAATTGTTTCCTTGTTTTTTATAGTTATTAATTTTAGTTATTCTTTTACATTAATTGTTATTTTTTTGTGATTCCTTGTTAACTTGTTTTTTTTTTGCTAATTATTAATTGTTTGCTTTATTTGTAAGTTAATATTTAGCTTTCTTTCGTTCATTAATAATTTTAATAGCCATTGAATCTTATTTTATTAAATCTTATTAAAGCGTGGAAAAATTCTATGTAAAATATTTGGTGGCACACTTATAGAATTTGACTCACAGGAGTGCCGCAGTGGTTGAGAATCACTGAGTTAGGTACTCGCCGGCTGTTCGACCTTCAAGAACTCATTTAGTACCCACTTTTGTGTTTATGGCTATCCATGTTCAACTACGTAGACTTGTAATTTTAAACCCTACCCAGAAGACAAGGAAACTTAGGGATGAGGCATACCTTTTTGGTGATCATCATTTGCGTTACATGGAGTAGAAAACCACCTCTCGCAGTTAGCCTGACGGTTATGTTGGTGCGGAGATTAGAATCCACTGGAATTCAAACCCTCATAGGGAGTCTCTCATAGAAGACAGAAATGTATTTTATAACCGAGCTTTTTTGGGTTTACCGGCTACTCATATTTAATCCAGAAGACCTTCCTGGTTTTGTCTTCGCGGAGGACTTTTTTGATGGAACCGTATGGAGAGGAAAACCATGATCCGTTTACCACTGAGGATGTTTTAAGCTGTGGTCGGTGCGAGCAGTCATTGCTGGGATTCGAACCTGGTTCACCTCATTGAAAGGGATGATAGTGACCTAAAGTAAAGTTCCACGCGAGTAAAGCATACGCGTAAATATAAATTTTAGACAGATAACTATGCGTTGATATAAAATATAATTGCATTATTAATATATATGAATAATTATGCATTTAAGTGAAAAGATCAAGTTAGAAATTATATTTTCCTGTCTAGTTTAGCACATCAAACGACTGAAAACATTAAATTTATTTTACTATGATGCGATTTATGGCTAAAATATTAAATTATTTTGAGTCCTACAATTGGAATCATTATGTTCATATTATAATCTAATCTAGCTAAAGCCCCGTGATCAATCCATTTAGTAACTCACACAGTGTGTTAAAGTAGTTTATCTTTGAAAATCAGAGTGTCGGGGGGCACATATTAATAATAATGTTGCATCGATGACAACCTGTTTGTTGATAAGATCACAGCTTGCAGGGAGGACTGTCCCAAAGGTGTGTTCTAAGAAGGCCTCGGTGTGTGAATGCTGGAAAAGAAATGATCCGAAATATTTCCATACAGCAGAACAGCATTGTTCTCCAAGCACGACAAACACTCCCCACACCATTATCCCAGATAGTAAAAAAATAAGGTTTATTTTCACTCAACAAAAACCTTTTAATGACGGTTTACGTGTAAGCCTTCTAATCTTAAAACCATCTGCTCTACTCTTCTCACATTACCCTCATCCAAAACCTTGGAAAACAACCTTCTTTCTAAAAACCTTAAATCGAGGTCGACTTGGGGTTTTCAAGCGTGAAAAAATCCTTGAATAAATCTAGTCTCCAAGATGAAAATAACCTTAAATCTAGGTCATTATAAAATTTCCTAATTCTTGTATGCTTAGCTAATATCCACCTTGTCATGAAATATTAATGGGAAATGCAATTGAATTTTATCGTTAGTGTGACGTCAGCTATGGACCTAAGTGTATACTTTTTAAAAAATCAATACTTTTAAAATGAATACTTTTTAAAAAAGCTTTAAAAAATAGTTTTTAATCCTTTTAGGATGAAAGGTTTAAAACATCCCGAAAAAAGGTTTTGAGTACAAACATTTTCGTGCCAATAAAATTCTCAAGGTTGCTGAAAGGTTACATGATTTCTGGGCTGTAGAGTGGCAACTCTGTAAGCCACTCTCAAAAAAGGATCTCCGTATGATCCTCAGGGATGTTTCGCAATCAATAAATTTATGAAGAAATAATGAGTGTTATAAAATAATGTTCTATTCCATTGCAGGTACGCATACACCGACACCCTCAACCTGAGTTCAGTGGAAGATGCCATGCTGACAGCATACGCTGCCAAAAAGTACCTCCTCCCCCACCTCCTCAGAGAGTGCTTCGTCTTCATCGAAGCTCACGTCTCCCCCAAAAACGTCTGCCAAGTCTACGAATTCGCCGTCGTCCTCGAAGCCCACCACCTCATCTACGAATGCCTCAACATCATCGACAGGCAGACACACCACGTCCTCACCTGCACCACATTCCCCTCCGTCTCTGTCTCCACCCTCGAAACCATAGTGGGACGACCCTATCTCAACATCTACTCAGAGTTCTCACTCTATTCCGCAGTCCATCTGTGGGCCGAAGAAGAGTGCAAAAGACGGAGTGTAGAAATCGAAATGGACAACCTTCGCATCGTCTTGGACAGCGTCCTGCCGCACGTCCGGTTTCTGGCCATGTCCGCCGAGGAGTTCTGTAAAGGTCCAGCAAAGAACGGACTCCTCTCCAAAGACGAGTGCTACGCCATTTTCATGAATCTGGCCATACCGGGAATAGTGCCGATGCCCAAAGGCATCTCATCGGACATGACCAAGAGGACGGTCCCACCCGATTTCTTCATCGCCAGTCGGTTCAAACCGACCGGATTCCACTCGCCGGTCAGACCGGTGCGTGTCTGCGGCATCCGATTCACAGTCACCAACCACGACATATTCCTGGTGGGGGTGGGGTTTCCGGTCAGACTGGACACGAATTACTTCTCGGTGAGGCAGCCGAAGTTCGAAGGTTCCCTCCGATTCTTGTACAAGATACAAGAAGATAAAATCGAGAGGGAGGACATGTCGGTGAGTTTCAGCCTGGCCAGAGACAAAGACGTCAGGCTGAGATTGAGGAAGACGTACTACGTGCGGAAAGGGGTGGAATGCGAACTGGAACTGCACGTCAATTCCATGCTGGCGGAAGACGTGGTCATTCCTAACATGAGAAACAGGAAGAAGGAAGACACCGTCGATGGAATTACGTTCCATTTCCACCAGTTCAACAGGGGACAGGCGAACAATGCTTCGGAGACTATGGAATTCTCCGAAATATATTACTATTTTTAATTCTTCGGTTTTTAAAAGATGTGACAGGGTCATTCAAAACGGATTATAGAAATAGAATTTATCACACTGAATGTAGAAGGAACTTTGTATACATCCCAGATAGCAAAATAAGCTTTCAATGTAAAAATGTTTTTGTGCGGTTTACGTGTAAACCTTAAAACGAGATGTGTACGCACATTACCCTCATCCAAAATCTTGGAAAAAACAACAATGATCTATACAAAAACCTGAAGGTGAAAAAATCCTTTCATCAAAGCTAATCGCAAGGAGAAAAAAATCCTATCGTGACCTCAGCTTAAACGTCATGACCTACTTTTTTTAAAAAAAGGCGTTCTTTTTAGGATGCACTATTTTTGCTTCATTTGGAAGTCTATGGTCACAAGGCGGTATTTTATTATGAATCATTTATGCAGTCACTGAAATGCGTTCTTCAATTGTTTTGATTGAGCCGTGATGGCTCTGCAATGAAGTGAACCGGGTTCGAATCCCAGGCGACGGCTTATCGATACGCACTGACCACTGCTGACTTTCTCAGCGGTTGCCGTCAAGCTTACCGTGGGACGCGGGTAAGTTCCATCCTAAACGAAAATGAATTTCTCCCCATACTTGAAGGTCTACTGAATAGGGTTCAAACTGACAAGGATCTTCAGTAACCCCAAAATATTAGGTCGACTGTTCAACAACGGTTATAAAAATAAAATAATATTGTATTTGAAATTTCTTGCACTGTGAATGACTTCGCTAATGAACTCGCGTATAGAAGTTCCATCTACATTCTATGTTATCGATAAATAATTCATTTTGAATCACCCTGTATTGAAGGCAGCAGTTTTTATGCATACAATCGATGGAATTTTATTCCATTGTGAGACGATGGAATTTTCCGGACTATCTCTTCGGCGAGGTTTTTTAAAAGGTTTGAGAGTTGATGAAGGAAAGTACACTATCCGACCAAAAGTATCCAGTATCATCCCAAATAGCAAAATAAGGTTTATTTTAACTCAGCAAAAACCTTTTAATGTAAACCTGAAAAAGGTTTTTTGCGCTGTTCACGTGTAACCTTAAAACGAGATCTGTGACTCTATTCTACGAAACCTCATCTAAAACCTTCTATAGAGGTTGTTTTAGGGTCTAATCTGGGTCATTATAAGGTTTTTCCCTCAACGTCTTGCATGCCTTGTCATGAAGTTTTAATGGCAATTTTGATCCTATGGACCTAAGTGACAACTTCTTTTAACAAAGAAAATGATTCCTTTTTAGGTTTGAAAAGGTTTTTCGTACGTAAGGATAGCTGCCAATATGGATAGAGTAGCTTTACGAAATAATATAAATTTCATGCTAACTAGCGTATAATATTTTACACATAATGAATGACATCAAAATACAAAAACTCAATGAACGGTAAACCAGTTATGATTGCCATATTTAATGCTTTTTCTTACGTTCACTCACCATTGTCAATAGACAAGTCATTTAGTATGGGTTGTTTAAAGATATTTCATTTAAAAAGAGAATTCCAAATAAAATTAAACTAAAAATTTTAGAAGAAAAGCTTTAAGCTGAATACTATAAATTGAAGCTTATTTCCTGACGCAACACTCATTTTCAAGCAAGCCATAAACTGTGAAAAAGTTTGCCACAATAGCGATATTTTTATGGAACTTAATTATGGGGACTATTCTAAAATGTATAAGAAAACGGGAGAAATTTAATTAAACAAGGTGAGAGTGGCAAAATCCTTGGCAGTGGATTTAGAGAGTCCTGAGGCAACATATTAATAGGATCGATGAGACAACCTTCTGGGAAGACCACCAGTTTTTCGACTATAACAGTGCTTTGCAGTGCGTCCCCGATTCCTCCCAAAAGGTGTTTTTATGGGAAGGCAGTTTTTCACCAAACGCCTCGATGATGTTTTTTTCTACACCAGGGACAATACATCCAGAGTATTTTTAAAGCCATTTGACTCACGACGTTGAGATTCTTGCAAACGTTGGTATTTCATTACTTGTGTTCACAATTTCTAAAGGGTGCTAACACTAACGTAAGATGGTGCACAGCTTGCAACAAGAGCAAACAGTAATAAACAAGATGCCAAATCAGGACTGCCGAGTTATTCACGCCACCATGTTACCTTTTTTAACACTCTATCTATAAATAACTAAAACAAATTGTCACTTCAAACTCACCAGAATTACTTAATAACATTAATATCTCATGAAATACGGCAGATTTTAGCTCAGAAATTTTCTAATTTACTTCTTTTATTGAAAACAAAATGATCCGTTTGAAAATATAGCCTCGCAGAATAAGCTGTAGTAAGCAGTTGCAAACTTTCTAACCGGAACTAGAGCAGGTATGGAGCTTGTTATATTGAAAGCACCATCCTCCCAACTAACAGAGAAGCATATCATTATATTTCCACCACCATAAATAACAAGCTGGGATACTTTTGGTCAGACAGTGCATTGAATGAATAGTTGGTTTGTGGCTACAAGAACAAAAAGCAAAGTAACAAATATTTTACATTTTTTTTAAACATCTTAAATCGTGTAATTTTCAAATATGTAAATATGTGCAGCATTCATAGTATCATTTTTTGTACAACTCGTGATTGTGTAAACAATATTTTCTTCTTAAATGTATTGGAATTATAGGATGCTATTAAATTTTATTACAATCTCTTATTTGTACAAAAAATAAACGCCATCCCGTAATGATAACTAACTTTAGAGAGCAGATATCTGTGCATTTTAATAGTTGTTTCTGAGCCAAGAGTTTCTTTTGTTAGACAACGCATAATAAAATATATGTATGGAATGACCGATACATCTGGAATGCGTAATAATTTATATCGAATGACACCGATACATAAGTAGAATGGCAGATCTTTTGAAAGCGATATTTTTCTTTATATTATGCTTACTTTTATTTAAAAAAAAAAAAAATACGCTATACATTTGAATGTAAATATTTAAGTTGGAGATTTATATGCTCTCGATAGTTGAAGGGACGCTAAAACAAATATTTCATAATCAGAACTAAATATGTTCTGAAAAGTAAAAAAATATTGCTCTAAAAAGTTGAATAACTACTAATAAATATGTAATGATAGTCTAAATACAAGAATGATGATTTTATTTTTAGACAAAAAAAAAATAATTATGCATTTAATAGAAAAGAATTGGTATATATTATGATTTTCACGAATAAATTGTTTTTCTATATGGATCCGACATAACAAGGTTTTTAGAAGAAGAAACTCTTACACATAGGAATTAACATTAGGTTCATATATAGGGGTAAAATATTTTTTGACATTAAACGGTTTTTGATATATTCGAGCTATCGAGAGTATGCCGTATATGTAGTCTCAATAAAATAGGAAAAGCGCTTTTATCGTCATTAAATCATTTGGTGATTGACTTGGCGCTGTTAAGCTCAAATTTATTCTCTAGATTAAAGTTGTTCTATGTTGAAAATAAAATCTTTCCAACAAAATTTTATAGATTTGTTATCTTTTTCAAGGGCTTAACTAGATCTGTTAACTAGATTAATCTTCAGTAAACTTTTACATATCAGATTTTGCACAAGAGGAATGTCAATATTACTTCTGTTGAGCTCTTTGTGAATACTGGTCATGAGTACTGAGGGCAAAACCAATTTATGATGTTAGCTTTAAAATATAAAACTTGATTTATCACGTTTAAAAATAATTTGAGTTTTTAAATGTTTGGAAAAAAGAGGAGAATTTAAAAGATCTGCTCTTAATAATCATTTAGGCAGTGAAACCCTCCAGAAAAAGAAACCTTTTAGGAGAGGAGAGACGCGACCACCCAATGTGGAAAAAGTCAAACAAGTAGTCTATTCAAAATATTTAAGTGACAAACTCTAATCTCTTTCTGACGATTGCAATCAGAGTGCACTGATGATTTAATTTTAGAGTTCTCAAACAAACCTCATCTTGTAAAGCTAACTAATTTTTATGATATAAAATCAAACTTAAAAAAACCTAATTTTTTAAAATAGCTTTATAATTGGTAAATTTGTTTTTACACATAATTATATATCAGTTGGGATCATTTTTTATAGAAATTTTATTCATAGATCCGTCTTTTCATGATGATGTCCCCCCGCAAAGACACGGCAGATCACTGGCGGGTGACCACTTGGATCAGTCTGCGTCCTTGTTAAACTGTTCTAACGTAAACCGCTCGAAGCGACATCCCCTCTGCAGAGGATCAAACTTGTGATGTCGGATCATCCTCAGGGATGTTTCCCAGACCGTCGCCAATAGCCCATTGTGCAGCTCTAGTGTATGGACAACAACATGACGTCAACAGAAGTGGCATTTCCGCAGCAAGAAAATGACTAAAAATAAAATCGTATGCGAAAAATCATGTGCCTTTCATAGCGATTTTGAAGTCAATGGAGGTTGAACGGTCGCTCCCGAAAGGTTTCAAATCATAAAAGAAAATTATCATTCAATAATTTCAAAGGCACATCTTCAAAATCCATTCTAAAACTGCCACTATCTAAGCTTTATAGGATCTAGCACAAAAGAAACTTCGCCCCCCCCCAAAAAAAAAGACATCCCACGTGTACAGGAGGGAAAAAAAGCTCTTCACAGAATTAAGTCTTAAATTTGACACTTCTTATTTTTTTGTTGCAACTGGAACATTTTTATCAATGTGTTAAGTAATGTAAGCGATTATATATATATATTTTTTTGGGGGGGTGGGTTGCTCTGTGTCCGCCGCACTGTAATGTTCCGGGCTCCAATAGCATGTCATCCAACTAAAAAGAAACTTCAGTTACAAATGAAGTTTGAAATCCAACTAAAAAGAAACTTCAGTTACAAATAATACAGAATTTTTAAGGTATGCATTAAAAAACTTTATGGATGGTGTTTTCTACACTAGGGAANAAACAATTAATGCAATGAGATTTTAGACTTTTCGGGGGCCCCATTCGAACTCGGGGCCCTGGGCCAGGGCCCATCCTTAAAAACGGCTCTGGAGTTATTCAAAATCTAGCAGCCATGTCACCTTTTTTTAATAACTAAAACACATTTCCCCAGAATGACACTAATGTCTTTATGAAAGATTTTATCTAATTTATTTCTTTTTATTGAATGATCCGTTTGAAAACCATCAGAATAGTAATCAACTAGAGAAAGGTTTCTACTGAAGACTCTACAATTAATTAGAATGGCCCCATATTATTGGACGCACTATTTCTTTATTGTTTTTCCACACTTGAAATTATCTTGTTCGTGTATGAATTGGTTAACCAGTGTGTTTAATAATTGGATCTAACTATTATAATATACTAATACTTGATATAATAAATAGTCTATATTTAAGTAATGTTTAATTTATCCAATCGTCTAATTTATGCAGGTGATGTATGAACAACTGCAAACCGGTTTCAGTCAACAATAAAGCTGTTGCATCATAATTAACATAGTGAGTCTAATATTTTGGGCCTGTAAAGTAATAATTGAAAGAGTTTGGAATAACAGAGCAATTTTTATACTGGTCTGACATTTTTAATAGAGTTATTGATGCATTTTTCTATTTGTGTATTGCAACTGGTTAGTCAAATAATAAATGATGCTTAGAATTACTTCATTTTATGTGCATTTAGTTTTTGTGGTAATAAAAATACAATTTAGTTAGTTATTGCATATCTTAAAAATGCTTTATTTTATGTATGTAAAGTTCAAAGACTTAGCTTGTCATAAAATAGCTTCCTCCAATGGTTCATGCCGAGTGCAGTTTTCTGATTGCTGAGATTAGGGGGGAAATTAGCACTGACAATGGCTTNCACCCGGGATAACTTCTGCTAAAATCTCTTCATCACTTGCACCACTGAAAACCAACACATCATTATCTAAATTTAAAAATTCATCTGCGTTAAATAGAAATTTTATGTATGTAAAGTTCAGCTTGTCATAAAATAGCTTCCTCCAATGGAAGTATCGTTCATGCCGAGTGCAGTGTTATTGCTGACATTAGGGCGGAAATTAGCACTGACGATGGCTTAATGAAGCCAATCATTTAGAGGGGATTTTGAGTGGCTCAATGATTGCAAAAATTTAGATCAATTCCCCCTTAGAGAGCATTTCAAAATATATATTTTTTGGTGTTCATATAATGGATGAATGAAGACATGAAACTAACCGATTTGACATTGTTTAGATATTTTATTTAAAAAAAAGTTTATGAAGGAAGGAAAAGTAAAAAAAAAAAAACTTTCGATTCGATTTGGGGCACAACTGCTCCGTATGCCCCTTCCTTAGTCATGTGCATTGGGGCCCAAAACATGTCTGTGCCCCTGCTTGCTATTAAGACAGCTCTGATCAGACCAGAATAAAAAGCTCTTTCTGTACAAAGTAAACAGTTCTCCAGAATGGAAAAAAAAAGAAGAAATAATCCCCAACTCCTGCCTTCAACAGCTCATTCAAATGCAGAGCACGCTGATTGTGTTAGAGCCATTTTGTTCCCATTTTTCGAGATACGTGGCCTATTAGCCTAATGAAACCATGTCATGTCCACCAGTTTTCTCGGTTTGCGTTCTTACTGTTGCATGGCTAAGCTTAATTCTCATCTATCAATTTATAGTTGGCGTATTTTGAGATAAATTAGAAGTTAACACATGGATCCGCTCCGAAAAGTGTGAATGTTGAAAAATTCCTAATTATTCCTAAAAAGAGCGTAAATAATTCTTTTTGAATTCTGCTCTCTACGCAAATAAGACACGCTCTGATTCTTTTCGGAGTCGAATTTACAAAAATTTGAATATCTTTCTAATCAGTGATTCTCAATCATTTTTTTTTTTTTTACTTCGTCCCGGTACACTTTTAACTATTTCGAAATTTAAGGGCACACAAAGGAAAAATAAGTTTTAAAAGTTGTTTACTTACCTATAATAATATATACTGTGCAAAATAGTTTGTGATAATAATTTTGTATACGAGATAAAATATGTACTACAAAAACACGTTTATTAAGGGAGTTCATTACAAGAGAACTGTTTTTCTTTCTATTTATTAATTCTTTTTTCTATAGTTATTAATTGCTATTTTTTTTTCTTCCGTGATTCCGATTCTCACAGAGAGGGAAAAATATCTTGATTTTTAATTAAATGCATGCTTGAGCCAAAAATGTGAATTTAAAAGTGTGAGAAAGTGTTTCGATTAGATAAATAAAATAAAAGGATATTCAGAAAAGAACTAATATAAAAAGATTAATTGAATCTTTTAATGTTACACACACATATTATATATA